GATGATGATTAAATACATTTTAGAGTGTACATAATCTTTGGAACACATTTTTGTTCTAAAAATGTAAGTAAGGCTATTGATTAGTTAAATGAAATTCAACTCCTGCATCTTGAGACCACTACACCATTCAAAAACTAAATGAACAGAGTTACAATTTATTGATTCTTATAACCAGGGATCCATAATTTTTGTTCATTTTCATGGCAATATTTTTCGAAATTCCCTTTGCAAAAACGAGAAAAGGCAATTGGTAATTTCTATATAAATAGCATTTCAAATAGTACTCCACATAGTTTTTACAATTTTTTCTCTTTCCTCTCTTTTTCACTATTTATCTTTCTGAAAGTACTTCAAACTTGAAATTTAATCAAGTCAAGTAATTTTTAAAATAATAATTCATTGCATTTCGAGCAGTTATTGAAGAAATGTAAGCTTTTACTGAACATATTACACAAACTTTGACAATATTATTGACCTTTCAACAAAGTTAAATTGAAAAGGTTCCAAAATTAATTTCATTCAAATAATTTTTGGGTCAGTATAATATATATTTTATTACGTAGCGATTTGATGTTTGCTTCAAAATAACACTAAATATTCAAATATACTGATTTCGACGTTTGTATCAGATTATGCAAATCCTTAACGTAAATACCCTGTTTATGTGTTAGGCAATTTTCCGGTAGGTAACAATTTTATTTTGAGTTTTCATCTAACAAAGTCCCTGAAGAAAATCTGAATGACACACTTTTATTTACTCCGATGTTTTATTTTGTATGTCTATGTATATACATCAGTGGTGTAGCCAGGCGGGAGTTATGGGGGGTTCAAATATCCCCCGTCAAAGTTCTTTATTCAATTATGTTGTGAGAGACAATTGCTGCCAAGTACAAATAGCGCATTAAGTTGCAAAGTTGATTGAACCATATTCATTTATTTTTTTTAATTAATTAACAAGTTGTAAGTAATAATAATAAATAACAAGTTGTATCGCAAATACGAGTAGGCAAAAACAGCAATAAAACTTTCATTTAATTGTTTAAGGTTAGTAAATAAAATATGTTATTAGATTACAGTCCTGACAACATCCTCTTAATGCCTGTAAAGCCTCCTTCAAATCGGCCAGTATTTTTCATCTTAACCCCTCATCTTCGTCCTATTTCACAAATCCTGGCTACGGCACTGATGTACGTGCAATGCATGTGCAATAATAGTACAAGACAAACATAATTTCATCCTAAAGAATTTATTAGGGTCCTTAATCATACAAATACATACGTATAATCAAATTGGAGTTCGAAAATTAATTGCAAATATTAATTTTCGTTGCTGTTTTTATATCTCATTACCTTCACATTCGAATAAATTAAATTTATATTTGGACCTGTGGAAGTCTGTTTGTCTCTAAGTAAGCGATAAATATAGGTCAAGAATAACGACTCACATTTTCTGAACAGGATAATTTTTGCTTATACTAAAAGTAAATCTTCGCACATACCTATTTGCATGACCTCTGCAATGTTTAATATCCAATTGACTATAATATTGACATTATTACGGTACCATCGACAATGATATAGGTAACTTTTTAGCATGGTATCATCGTTTTTTCAAGTGATGGAGGTATTTTCTTTAGTAGTACATATACGTGATTAAAAACAATTTGAACAATGGCTAAAAGAAGCCATTCAAGTATTACGAAAGCAGAATTTCAGTATTAACCCCCACCCCCCTGTCAGCAAGAGTAAGCCCTTGCTCCCCCCTATGCTTACGTAAGCATTGGCACACTAAATAAAAAAGGAACTTAATGCCCATTTAATACATCTTCAAGTAAATTATTAATATTGTATTTAAATATTATATTATCAACTGTAAGCAGTATCAATTATTTTGGGGAATCCCTGAACATATTTGTTCAAATCAGAATCTACTAAATTTTACAGAAAAAATAGAAGAAGTAAATAAATGAATATTGCTGACAGATCACCATCCAGACCCTCGTCTCCCACTTCATTAAAAATAAGCAAAGCAAAGATCCCCTCCCCCCACCTCCCCTTGGTACTTAATCGAGTACAATATATTTGAACAAGACTGTACATTCCTGATTACATCTTCCTGTGCATTAAATAAATTTATTTTGAAATTAGTTTTAAAGCCAACTGCATTTACTAAGTGGGTAATTACTCAGAATCGTGACAGAGATGCTATATAATGACTAACAAATTACCTAAACTTTTAAGTGGGCGCCGCTGTGGTCTTTTGTTGCCATTTTAGTTATACATGGATTGGTTTTTGCCAATTTAGAAATAATCATTGTCACTCAATAAAATAGTACAATAGTTGTCCTGGGAAGAGATCACTTCATAGTACAGTCTAAATAAGTATTATTGATAGACTTTAATAGTTACCGATAAAAAGTTAATTGATGTAGATATAGAAACAGTGAATCAAACAACAATCATCATCACATAAGAACCAAGGCTTTCACGGCTAGAACCCATAGTAGAAAAAAGATTCGGACGTTTCGTCAGCTACTGCGGCTTACATCCTCAGTGGTAGTGCTGCGTTGATAGTCGCAGTCGAGACTTCGCGATATAATCTACGTTCACGTTGTCAACGCAGCACTAGGTACCACTGAGGATGTCAGCCGCAGTAGCTGACGAAACGTCTGGACACATTAGTTCACTTAGACTACGGCCCTACAGCCCGAATCTTCATTCTACATCATCATCATAGAGTCGTTAGTCCTAAGACTGATTGGACACGCACCTCCACTCTTTCCTATCTTGAGCTAATCATCGTATTTTTCTGAAACTGGAACATCCCACATATCCTTAACTATTTGTGGGCAGTAATCTAATCTTAGTCTACTTCTACCTTTTTCTCAGACAGAAACAAAATATGTAAAATTAATTGTTTTATGTAGCTTTTAATTCTTTGTTTTTTCATCGTGTGCAGGTTTCTGACAAACCTTTAATATACTTAGTCATGGTCCTTAGATGGTCGATAGATTTTTATGTAATTTTACCCCTTATGTGAGTCATGATAGTGTACTGAGCTCAATATTTTATTGGAGTACTGTACTGTACATGAACTAAGTATGTAGGTTTCTCATATTTTTCGGATCAGGTAATGAAATGACTCATGAAGTTATTTTAAAAATGTGGAACATCTTAAGCTGTTTAGGAATATTATACAATGTATAAAAGGTATAAACTATTATGAAAAAGTAAATGCGTGAAATAAACATACTTTTTTTAAGTTACAGTAAAACTTTTAAAATTCTTGTGGTTCATATACCATATGAAAGGTTTTTATGTATCTTTTGGCATCTTTACAATGCTTTCTTAAACTCACTTGAGCAATAATAAAAGAATGGTGAACTCTTCGAATAAAAATAAGAAAATCATACTATTATAGCATAAAGTAGAAATATAATAGAAAAAGGATAGCGTAGGGTCAAGGCGCCTTTAACAAGAAGAAGTCATTTGTATGCTCACAAACGCTCGATTTAGAAATTCGAAAAAGACTAAAGTTAAAGGTGTGTCTTGAGCACGAGTCTACATGGCTAGAAGCGTTCAAAATGTGGTGTAGCAGGCGAATGAGTTCTGGGATGTAAAAGTTCTACAAAAGCAATTCATTCACTACAAATTAAGAACAATTTAACCACGAAATGTGATTATATTCCTCTCTGAGTTCAAAATAAAAACGGATATTATATCAACTAGCAGATCATTCAATGATCTGAGACCTATAGCCTCTACAAAAACAATTATTTCACTACAAATAAGCAATGAATTACCCATATGTTGTGGCCTGCTGGCGTAATATACTGCACCAACATTAAGCGTTTACTTTTTGGGTTTCTGACTTGGAGTCGTACAAAAAACTTTTGTTTTATTCAAGAACTTCGTTTATGATTTATTAAATTTTGGTTAGAAGCGTTCAAAATGTGGTGTTACAGGCGAATGATGAGTCCTGGGATGTAAAAGTTCTACAAAAGCAATTCAATCACTACAAATTAAGAACAATTTAACCACGAAATGTGATGATATTCTTCTCTGAGTTCAAATCAATTCATTCCCTACGAAGTGTGATAATATCTTCCTCTGATCCCAAAATAGAAACGGATATGATATCATCTAAATTCGAAAACTGGTGTTGCAGGCGGATGATGAGGATACCGTGGATAGAGAAGGTTAGAAATGAAGAACTATTAGAAATAATAGGGGAGCAGAGGGTGCTATGGAAGTCAATAAGAAATAGGTTGGTAGGACACCTCAGGCATAAAGGGTTAGTTAGAGACATATTAGAAGCAGAAAAAAAAGAGGAGTAGAGATAGGCCTAGATTGGATTACTGTTCACAAATAGTTAAGGGTATGGCACGTTCCAGTTTTAAGGAACTGCAAAGATTAGCTCAGTATATTAGGAAACTCTGGAGGTGCGTGACCAACCAGTCTTAGGATTGACAACTCTAAACTGATGATGGAGATGATTATGATCTTTATAACAAAGAGAAACTCATAAAGTAGGCAGGTAGCATACATTTCTTTTAAGACTTCATGAATGTTGTGAGAAATGGGCTTTTCCTTCATTAGCTGTAAATAAAATTTACTAGAAGAAAATCAATTTTAAATATTGAGTACACCAACATTGTTCTCCTATTTCTAGAAAATTCTGTAGGTAGTCTGTATTTATGTAGGTGTCTTTATTGCTTCCGTCTTATTTATCATCTTTATAAACTTGGTATTGATTTCATTGTTCAGTAGAATTCCATGACTAAGCCTCCTTGCAATCGTTTTTGAATTGCAATAACAATAACAGCCCAAAATAGGAACACAAAATGCATTATTATCCATTAGCCATTATTATTATCCAGAATCCCCAACGTCAAGCTTTTTTAAAATTGCCCACAAAACTTTCAACGCCTACTGTAACTGAATAAGCTTTTGCACACCACGCGTGCGCCTCCCCCCTCTTCAAATCTATATTTAAAATTAACACCAATCGTCTGGCCATCCGTTTGGCCGACATTCCATAGTGAGACGTGGTACGAGCGAGCTGTATTGTAACGATAGTGCGTTATTCATTAGTGTTTCGAAGTGTTTTAAAAGTGCTAAAGTAGTATATTATAATGGCTGAGGGTACCAGACGCGACATACCCATCAAATTGGGAGATTTCAGCGTAATCGATAGTGAATTCAGCAATATTAGGGAGAGATTCGATGCTGAAATGAGGAAAATGGAAGAGGAAATGAGCAAATTCAGGTCTGAGCTCATGAGCAGAGAGGCCAACAATTTTTTCAAAAGCACCACCAGGTATGCACTTAGACTATCTATTGGTCAGCTTTTCCTTAATATTATTGTAGCTAGCTCTTCATTAATATTGGGATTTAAAATTTGGTACATTTTAAAACAGATGTGCTCACTTTTAAAATCGCTGCAAGATACTTTGAGAAGTCAAGGAGGAATAAATCTTGAACTTCAATCATTACAGTAGCTTATTTTTTGTCGTCCAAATTGGCTTCTATACGAGTTTTTGGGACGTTTTAAATTATCATAGATTTCTGATGACTCTCAAGAATAAGATATCTATCTTAAAACATTACGTAATTTTATTTGCAAACGAGATGATTTGTGCAAATATTGCCTTTTTTTATTAAATATGCGCAGGTAAATTTTTGTATGTAGGTAGTACGTGATATTGAAGTAATTTACTTACGCCACCGTTGTTGCAAATATAAACAATGATTCATCTCATATGTTTTTGCTGAACGTTCACAAATTGGCAAATGAATGATATTAAACGTTCTTGCTAAAAGAAACCACTGATTGCAACTGGATTTACTGATTATTGGGACCAATATCTGGGTTCCTGATTCCTTAACTTCAGAAGACGGAGGGGCCTATCGTTTTCGAAAATGTTATCAAGAAGCCCACATTATAATAACTTTCACTACAGACATCGCTATAAATAAACGTTGATAATTGCTTCCACATTTTTTACGTCCTTGATTAATGCTAATTATGGTGACATTCATGGGTAACTTTAGTTGATTTGTCGAATGCATGTTTATTTGCAACACATACACTTATATTCTCTTACAAAGATGACCTCACACCTAAGGTGTATTAGGTTCACCTACGTTCACCTAAATCTGTCTCTTGTTTTTGTTAGAGTAGGTTTCAATTCTATAAAGGTTAAAAGGTGCAAACATGGAAACTTATTTTATAGCACTTTTTTATTTGTCAACAAGTTACTGGCCATGAAATTCTTCTTTGGAACAATAAATTCCATTTCTCATTGCCAAAATGCACTATAATTTGCCCCTAATTTGTTACCAAATCTAAAAATTCAGAGCGTATCTCTAAATAGAAATGGCATAGAGAAATACAGCAAGACCTATAATTTGTCGCTGAAGATGATCTTCCAGTGATAAACAATGATAAACAACTGGAGAGCCGCTAATCAAACACTACTGGTTGTTGGCACTACTCAGAGCGTTTGTTAGTTGGACAACTGGAAGATCGAATAGTGACAAAATGCGTAAAAGTGTCATCTATCGGTGACAAATAATTTCTTTTGCATTATAATGTCTAGTACCAGGCTAATGTCAGGCTGGTATTTCGTTCATCTAGCAATCGACTGAAGCGACAAACTTTTGGATTTGGTAACAACTTAGCCACAAATTACAGATATCGGAAAAATAACTGTCGTGCCAACTTCATATACTGTCGTACATTAGTTTTCGCGATGATTGCCTAAGGTGCAACTTGCAGTTACTAAACTTCCCTTCTATTTGAAATGCTTTAATGTACGGTATGTCTGCTTCCTGTCATTCTATATTTAATTTCCTGTTTGAAATGAAATAGTACAGCGGTTGGTTTAAGAGTTAGCGGACGTTTGGTAGGTTACGGCAATGTTAACTAGAACTGATTTATAAATATCTTTGCATGTAAGCTTCTAAGGAACATTTGTTTCCTCTGGGTATAAAGTTCTTCAAAGGATTTACCATGTTTAATGTTTCTAGTAAAATGATACTGAAAATATGAAGTTAAATGGGGAGGAACATTCACTGTAATCTTTCTGTAAAGAAAACTATTGAAGATTCCTTTAAAAAATTCCGCACTAGGTTTATTTTTATTCTAAATGACGTTCAAATATTTCGTACGTTAGCTCAGGATAGGAAGGAGTGGAGGTGCGTGTCCAACCAGTCTTAGGACTGACGACCTTATGATGATTGAAATAGCAACTTTTGTTTCAACCAATATTAGCTTCTGTTGTGTATTAAAATAATTATATTTATGCATTCTATTTTTCATGTTTGTGAAGATCCAGTAAAATGTAAAAAGTTCCGAAATCAGTTGAAAAGAATATGTGATCTGTTAATATGATATCAAGGTAACAGATTTACAGACTGTATAAAAGTAATTCGTTCACTACAAATTAAAAACAAATTAAACCACAAAATGTGATGTCCATTTGATCATTCTCTGAGCTCGAGATCAAGTGAAAAGAATATTACATTAAGCTAACAGATCGTCCTATTTCTTAGGAGCTATAAGTTCTATAAGAGTAATTCTTTCACTACAAATTAACCACAAAATGTGATGATCATTTGGTCATTATCTGATCCCGAGATCAGATGAAATGATATGATTTCAAACTAGCAGATCATCCGATTTCCTGAGATGAATCGATTAAAAAACCAACTCTTTTACAACAACTGAAGAACAAATTAAACCACAAAATGTGATGTCCATTTGATCATTCTCTGAGCTCGACATCAAGTGAAAAGAATATTAATCAAGTCAAAAAAAACAACTGTCATGTTGTATAATTCATTAGTTAAATCTAAATTGATGTACGGCACACCGATTTGGTCTNTAATATGATATCAAGGTAACAGATTTACAGACTGTATAAAAGTAATTCGTTCACTACAAATTAAAAACAAATTAAACCACAAAATGTGATGTCCATTTGATCATTCTCTGAGCTCGAGATCAAGTGAAAAGAATATTACATTAAGCTAACAGATCGTCCTATTTCTTAGGAGCTATAAGTTCTATAAGAGTAATTCTTTCACTACAAATTAACCACAAAATGTGATGATCATTTGGTCATTATCTGATCCCGAGATCAGATGAAATGATATGATTTCAAACTAGCAGATCATCCGATTTCCTGAGATGAATCGATTAAAAAACCAACTCTTTTACAACAACTGAAGAACAAATTAAACCACAAAATGTAATGTCCATTTGATCATTTTCTGAGTCCGAAATCAAATGAAATGGATATAAAATCAAGTTAGCAGATGATCCGAATTCCTGAGATCTATGAGCTCTACAAAATTATTCTTTCAATACAAATTCAGAATAAGTTGACTACAAAATGTGATGCCCATTTGACCGGTCTCTAAGCCCGAGATCAGACAAAATGGATATGATATTAAGCTAGCAGATCATCCCAATTTCTGGGATGTATAAGTTCTACAAAATCAATTCTTTCACTACAACTTAAGAGCAAAATAAATCACAAAATGTGATGTCCATTTGATCAATCTCTGATCCTGAGATCAGGTGAAATTAAGAACAAATTAAACCACAATATGTAATGTCCATTTAATCCCTGTCTCAGCCCAAGATAAGGTTAGGCAAGGATATCAGTTAGCAGATCATCGGATTTTCTGGGATCTATATCAATTCATCCCCTAATAATTTGTTATAAATTACCAGTATGCCGTGGCCTGGCAGGGTAGTATATCGCACCAGCAGTTTAATTTTAGGCTTTTTGATATGGATCCGTACAAAGATCCTTTGTTTTATTCGACAACTTCGTGTATGATTTATTAAATTTTGTCTAGTTCGTTGCTGTCATAAAATTGTTACGATTGCCATGGTAACTTTTTTAATTCCAGTAAGTAATAAACATTTATAAATACATTTTACGGTCTTCATATCTTTTCATAATATTGCGTAAAATTGCGTTTATATTCCCCTATTCCTGCGTATCAACACCCCTCTTCAATTTACCCCAGAGTTCTAACCTATTCAGGTCAAGGAATTCTGTATTGATTTTCGAATATTCTCAACCTCTTTTTCGGTAAGCATTTCTACCGTCACTGTCGTCTACTTTGTGGTCTATTAAGTTACTTCCATGTTATTGATTTCCTTCCGCTTCTTCGGAAGGATTGGAAATGTTTGCGGCTTTTACGTCTAGCCGTTTGATATAGAATTTTAATGATTTTTCTGCTTACGTAAAAAGTCACTAGTACATTACTTTATAAAGGTGAACGGTTGCATAAAAATTAATTGGGCACGATGTCATGCAGAAGTACAGCTTTCCTTTCTTATATTAATCATCATCAGCAATAAAAATGGTTTTTGAAACTTGCTATTAAAAAATGTGTGTAGGTAGTTACAGGGAGCTGTCCCCAAGTAGGGAAGGGGTCTAGTTGAAGGCAATTCTAAACCATATGTGGATGGGGATTGTTACTTGAGCAACGTGCTTATGTTAAAAAAATATGATTGTTGGTGACCGGTGGATCGAAGATGATTTACGTAGAAATGGATCAATATTTATCACCAACATGCAAAGCCTAGTTGACCTGATGATGGCGCAGTTCCCAAACAAGAATAACTAGCCCCTTCATTAAAAATAACGTTAAAATAGGAATTTCTATGAGAATCATACTGTTTTAGGGGGGAAGTTGTCCAGGAATAAGGCCATAATAGACTATGTGGGGTAGGGGCTGTTTAAAAACGGAGGAAGAGAGTCATATGGTTTATTCACGCCCTCGCCCCCCCTTGAGTAGATATTGCGGGTACAGACTTGGCAACAAATATGAATGTTGAGATCCACTGCTTTGATTCTTATGAGGGCCCTCCAAAATTGTACAGAACTAAGTGCTGTTGTGCCTCCAGTTCTCCTTTGAGATAGGGCTCAAAAAGGATAGGTGCTTATTACATCATTATCATCAAGGGTCGGCAGTTCTAAGACTGGTTTGATACGCACCTCCACTCTTTCCTATCCTGAGCTAATCTTCGCATTTCCATAAAACTAGAACACCCACTTCCTTAACTATTTGTGAACTTGTCTATGTCTATCTCTACTTCTCTTAATTCTTGTTTCTGCTCCTAATATGTTTATGACTAGTCCTTCATGCCTGAGAAGGTGTTTTTTCAACCTACCTCGCCTATTTCCTATTGACTTCCATAGAGTCCTCTGTTCTCCTATTTTTTCTAATGCCTACCTCTTCATTTCTAATCATTTCTATCCACGGTATCCTCATCATTCGCCTGTAACATCATAT